ATTTAAAAATATACAATCATGATATGCATGGATAATGAGGCGATAATAACTATATCTTGTTGTAGATAAGTATTCACATGTTGTAAGAAGTGACGATATTTTGATGGGTCTATGTCTTTTTCTCTATCTTCTTTCATCTGGCCAGAAACGAACATGCTAATAATATGTACCTTTTCACCCGCCCTATGTCGTAGATGGTTGTGAGCTAGCATGCAATATATGTTAGCATTTATCACCTGCAATTCCATGTTTAGATTATATCTATGTTTTACCATATTATATACTCCCTCTGTTCCAAAATATAGTGCACCGGCGTATTTCGAGGTTCTACTTTGACAATAAATTTAACCAACGAGACTGACTGTAGCGGGAGAAAAAAATATATAATTGAAAACTTCTTTTGAATACAAATTCACTGGTATAACTTTTGCTCCTGCCGTAGTCGGTCTCGTTGGTTAAATTTGTGGTCAAAGTTGAAGCGCGGGAACCGAGGACGCACTATATTTTGGAACGGAGGGAGTATCGTTTATATTATTAATTACAAACTTTATGCAATTGGTCTTACACCATCGTGTAAGGATATATCACCTTTATAAGGCATTCAAATCGTCATTTGATAATACCACATCTTCAATGTCCACGAACATGGTTTTCTTGGGGGTAGACATGATTGATTTGATGATCGTAATATCTCTAGGGGTACAAACACAGTCTGTCGGCATGATACAAAAATGAGCCAAAGTATAAAAATGAGACAATTGGTTAAATACAAAAGGCAATATGACGAAGGAAAGATCGATAATAACATTGAAAAGAATACCTTGTGCGATAACATGTAAATTGACATCCTTTTTTAGTTTTTTATGAGATATCACTGCGTCCACATCATTTTGAAAAACTCGGTGAACTTTCGCCCCCTTTCAGTGTCATCGCTTCGGAACCCTTGTTGATGCATTCTTATCTCCAAAATTCATATCTATGTCTCCTATATTGTGAAAAATAATAATATGTAAAAAATAAACATTTTGTATTATCATGTATAAGACACGGACAAAGAATGATTACCTATATACCTCCTGTTGTCGTGTTTCAGTCCAGACTATCATCGTTACATCAATGTGTATGTCGGAACCCATCACTTTTTATCTATGATGAAATATAAATGATATTTGCTACTGCATCATATAAACACATATAATATACTCCCTTCGTTCGGAATACTTGTCCTAGAAATGGATAAAATGGATGTATCTATAACTAAAATAACTCTAGATACAATCATTTCTAGGACAAGTATTTTTGGATGGAGGGAGTATAATAAAATTAAGAGTGAAACAAACAGAGCTGTTTTATTTTGTAAAAAAAGAAAAACCATTTTTGATATTATTACAAAAAAGATGTTGCATTTCTTTCGGAGCAAACAACCAACTATAATGCTCATATATAAATAATATGTCGTCTGAAATTTCTTAAATCATTTTAATCTATTCATATTTTTTGAGAATTTTTACTTCCTTTATATAGGCTATGGAAAATTGTCCGACAAAACATAAAAACATGTAAGCAATCCAACATAAACCAAGTATATTCGGTTTCTTTTCTCAAAATTTTGATTTTTTTGTGATACTCTGAATATATGTAATAAGTATAAAAAAATTTATTCATATGATCCAATGTATATACTTTAGTGTATTTTTCCTTCAAAGAGCAAACGTCAAAGGCCCAAATCAGCTAACCAGCACGGCCGACCAGCACCCAACCCAGCAGTATGACTCCAAGTTATAAAGAAAAAACAGTATTACTAAAAAACAACCAGCACCAGTCTCCCTCACTCTCTCCATTCCCGCACAGTCCTTAGAGCATCTCCAGCCGTTCGGCTCCCCAGGGCGCCAAAAAAGAGTGGCCTGGGGTCGAACCAGTGCTAGATTGGCCCCTAGGATTCGGTTTGCTCCCAGTCATAGGACCACGGTTGTTACGCGTTTGGCAATGTTTGTTTCATTTTTTTGCAAATTCGACGATTTTTTGCAGGAACTCAGCCAAACTTCATCGAAATTTGTACAAAAACGTAAAAACACGCCTAACTTAAAGAACAAACTAGCCTAGCTAGCCGCCGTCGCCGCCGCGCCGCAGTCGTCTACATGTCGAGAAGCCTGTAGAAGCGGGTGTAGTCGTCGCCATCGTCATCGTCGTCGTCGCGTGCCTCGCCTGCGACGCCCCTGCTGCAGCCCTGGCCGGGGTCGCCGACACGTGGCGGAGCACTTGACGGCCCGACCTCGCCCTCGTCATCGCTGTCGATGACGATGAGGCCACCCTCCTCGGCGCGGGGGTGGACCCGGAGATCCTTCCATGCCCGACGCTGGTGGCGCACCTGCTCGTGGGTGTAGTCCTCCTTCGCCCATTTGAGGGCAGCCTCGTCGTCGGGGGCCACCATGTCGACGTGCTCCGGCTTCATGGGGAGCAAGCCCGGCTAGGGCTTCGGCCGGACCAGGTGCAGGGAGCGCCTCGCCGGTGCCGTCGCAGGCGGTGAGGGCTCGTTGATGACGAGGGCGTTGCTGCGAGCGCAAAGCCCGAGAGTGCTCCCCTCCGGCTCAGGCCTGACAGGGTGGAGGGCTAGCGAGCCAGAGCCCAACGATGAGGACGACACCGGCTCCATTCGCCGCAACATCCAGGAACTGACGCGGTGGCGAGAGAAGGACGACCGTGCCGAGTACGCCAACCGCAGCATATTGCCGGTCTCGATGTGGTTGAGGACGACGTCGAGGGTGGGGTCGGGGACACCCCACCACTCGCGTCGTCCTTCGTTGTTGAAGCGGCCGCGTGGAATGATGCCGTTGACAGAGGCGAGCTGCTCCTCGCGGCGGTGCTGGTAGAACAATGTCCATAGTGTTTCGCTATCGGGCGCGTACCTCGGCTCATTCGCTGCTCCTCCGGCATGGAGGAGCGGACGTGGGCGATCTCCGCTCGTCGTGCTGCCCCTTCGAGCACTGGCGGCACCAGGACACCGCCGGCGCTCAATATCCACGCCCCCGGCACGCGCATGTTGGGGGGCGCCGGGTACTCGGCCTCGTAAAGGAGGCGTGCCTCCGACTCTTGGAGGTGTCGGCGGCCAAAGCCGTTCGCCGCTGCACCGTCACCTGGGAACCTCCCGGCTATACTTTTTCTCGTCGGCGTGATGGGAGGGGGGGTGAGGTTGTGGCGCTCGCCGGCGGGGCAAAGGGTTTTGCGAGAGGAAGAGGGGGGAGGCTGTGGTTCTCACTGGCAGGGAGCGGGCGTCTTTTATAGCCGAAGCGGGGCGGCTGGGAGGCGGCATGCGGGAGGACGCATGGCAGGAGCGGGCGGGACGCGTGTCGATGGCGTCTTCACTGCATCACCCATGAGGCATCAATGGAGGCTGACCGGCGCAGCAGCGCGACAGCCTCGGCATTGATTCCCATGGGAATCAAGGTGATGAGGGCGACGAAGCAGCCGTCTCGCTGACTAGGCGGGCCCGCGGCTGTTTCGCGCCAAAAAACTCGCCCCGGTGCCCTCGTGCACCCCTCGGCGCGCCAGGTTCGGCCTGGGTCCGCCGGCACTGTTTTCGGCCCAAGCCGATGAAAAACGGGCTCCTGGGGTCGCGACTGGGCCGTTTTTTCGCCGTCGACGCGAAAAAATCGCCTGGGGACGCCGTGTTGGGGGCGCGGCTGGTGATGCTCTTAGATCTCACCCACTCTACTCCCTCCGCTCCCCTCCACAGCTGGCGACTTCATCTTCCACCGCTGCCCCCTCTCATCCCTTCCCCTCCACTCATCCGACGTTGATCAGGTGCACGCACAACCGGCTCCCTCGTCTCCCACGGCGGCGGTGGCGAAGTGCATGAACGCGGCGTGCGGCGCGCCCGCCCTGACGGCGGCGGGGTTGGGCAAGTGGAGGAAGGACTGGCTGTTGCGATCCGGCGGCTTCGCCGTGCTCTGTGACAAGTGCGGGCACGCCTCCCTCTTCCTACTACCACCTCCCTCCCTCCCTCACTATGCGCTTCCTCTGCGGGTGCGTGCGGGCTCTGTTCCGAATGGACTGGTTGGCTCGCTAGCTCGTCGGCTGGACGAATCGATTTGTCTCGATGCTCTGCCTACCTTTGCCCCTGCCTTTTCCTCTCGAGGAGAAGATGTTTTGTTCCTTGTTGTGGTTGGGCAATCTGTGGATTTCCTTTTTGTCTTTCGCGTGTAGCAGTTTTTCAGAAAAGTGGAGTTGACTCGGCTGTAGCTACGGTGGATACCTACCAGCGACATAGAATAGATAATAAGCACTACTTGGTTGTGTGAAGCTCATGTCGAATTCAGATTTCTGTGATCGTTCAGTTACTTAAGGCCGACCCAAAATTACTTGCAGCAGCTTAGCTAGGGCCGACCCAAAATTCAGATTTTCTACTGAGTGGTTAGATCTTCCTAGATAGGGATGAATGAGCTCTGACATGGTACTCCTACCAAGAATGGAAGAATACAGACATCTAGCTCTATGCATGAACATTCGAGAGCATTACCTAGAGAAATGTACATACAAAGGTTTAAGCAACACTATACTTTATGATTGACGCACTGCTTTGTCAAATACCCTGCTTCTTTCATGATTTAGACACTTGTATTGTATCTGACAAGATTTTTAAATCCCTTCTATGTTTATTTCCCAGAGTTTGAAAGAACTCATACAAAATGAGACGGTGCCCTGCCCCATTGACATAGTTAATAACGCTATTGACAATCACCTACCCAAGAGGCTCACCGAACTGTGTGGTTCTGAGAACAAATTAGTTGTGGGAAGTGATGAATATAATAGAATAATTGAAATGAACCTGGTTAGTATACTTTGTAAGCTTTCTTGTTGCTTCTGTCTGGGTGAACAGTACTGACCACCACCTGCTTTTTCAGGGAATAACATGTCTTTATGTTGATGTTCCGGATTGTGAGATCATAATTTGGAGTGAGATGAATCCCATGCGTACTTTACTTGGTTTCCCGCCAAGAGACATGACTATTGTGCTGCTATATGAAGCACCCGTTGGCATTGCAATTTTCTCTTTTGATGGGGACTACTTCAATGATCCAGCAAAGGTTCTTATTTTTCCTTGTTGGTGCTCCTTAAGATTTGGCTGTCATCAATGAAAAACCCAAGATCATGTAATTGGTTACTCTGCTTTTTCTACAAGACTTTTGGTAATGCCTGCCACCGCTTGTTAGTAACGCTCCCATTTTTTAATCAATGATCCTGCCTCCCTTCATGATTTAGACACTTGCGTTATACTGTATTTGACAAGCTTCTTAATTATCTTCTGTGTTTATTTCTCAGAGTTTGAAAGAATTTGTACAAAATGAGACGGTGCCCTCCCTAGTTGACATAGCTAATAATGCTATTGACGATCACCTGGCCAAGAGGCTCACTGACTTGTGTGGTTATGAGAAGAAATTAGTTGAAGGGTGTACCGAATGTAAAGTAATAATTGAAAAGAACCTGGTTAGTATTACTTTATAAGCTTTCTTGTTGCTTGTCAGGGTGAACAATATATTGATCACGATTTGATTTTTCATGGAATAACATGTCTGCATGTTGACGTTCCGGATTGTGAGATGAGAATTTGCACTCAAAAGAAGCCCATGCGTACTTTATCGCCTAAAAGACTATCAGATCCTACTAAAGATTCAACGATATTCTTACATCAACTTGGCATTACTTGCAAGCTCGAGTAGATGAGCTTACCTCTTGTCCTTCCTTATTTCTCACAAGTTGATGTTCTCCCTTGTCAATGTTAGCACTTTATCTTCTTTCTTACTATTCTCATCTTCTATAGCAAGCATTAATAAATCTCCTTTGGTTATGGGATGCTAAGATTTTCTGACTTATTGTGTACTTTACTTTGATAGACATACCGTACTGTAAGCTCATCGCATTGTACCAACTTCTAGACATTTTTAACCTTTATTTATGTTTTTTTCACTTAAAGCAAATGCTCCTCTTTATCCAGGTTAACGACTATTGTTATGGAAGCTCATCGCTTGCATCAAATCGAATTGCGTGAAAAGGAACATTTGAAGTTCTTGTGCCTTCTTCTTAAGAATTTTATGATTAAATATGGCATTGACACTAAGAATTGGATTCTGATCCAATTTGCAACAGCTCTGAAGATTATCGTTTTATGCCCCTGGAGCATCAAGTATGTCTGCATGCTTAATTCACTCAATTTTTTGTGCAGTGGGAGTAGTTGCTAGAAATTACTGAATTTTGTTTCTAGTAGATGCACTGAATTTCAAAGAAAGAGTACTCTAGGAGTACATGGAGTTGATGCACTGAATTTAGTGTGCAGCAGATGCACCGAAATCTACTGAATTTTGTTTGCAGTAGGAGTATTTGCAGTTCTGAACTGCTAGGAGTACATGTAGAAGCACTTTGCCGGTGCACCGTGCATATAACTTGAGAAAAGTGTCCTCTGAATTTATATGCACCTAGCACTTCTGTTCATGCCCTCATCTGTTCATGGCACATGAGTAAAAGAAAAGGAACAAACATAAATAAGCTACTTCTATACCATTAATCCAGTGGTGTATATCATTGTTGCTTTGACCATCTGTACCATCAATTATCGAAGAACCAATGGCCACATTTCATTTTGATTAACAGTGACTAATTTAACTTGAGATGCAAATAACCAATTGGTGTAACTGCAATTCTAATACCAAAGATACTCATCGGTCACAAAAATGACATAGTAAACAAAAATAAATACCATTGACTGTGCCTGATTTGGGGCAACATCATAAATATTTCTCTAATGTAGAACTCTCCAGTGGAGTCTAGTTTTAAAAGAACAGAGTGATCAAGGCAGTGTGCAATATTTGTGAAGGAAAACAAAGTCAGGTTTAGATGTAGTAGATGATTGATTACAAAACAACAAAAGAATAATATACATAAGCAAACCAGCAAAACGAAAAATAATGTCACATACAGCAAAATTTGGCTACTTGCAAAGTCACAAATCCCAGGCAATATTATTAGTACTTGCCTTGTAGTATAAACATAATAAAGTTCAATTGCAAATATCGAAAGATAGAGATATGTACAAAGACACCAAAGAGCACCAAATTACCTGTAGCATAAGAGTAAATCATGTCACATATTTAAGAGCAGACTTCCGCCTGTAAGGACTTCCTTATAGACGATGTTCTTCATTGAGGTCTGTAAGGACAAGGCAGGTCTTTTTCGCTTCTTAGATTTACCGCTTTGCTTCTGGGCATTCTCCTTCTCCTTCTCCTTCTCAATGAGGATCTTTATATTTCTCTTTGCGATGGCTCGAGACAATGCGACATAGAGTTGACCATGAGAGAACACCGGATTAGGTAGGTACATGCTAACAATCAGAATCGTCTGGCCTTGAGTCTTGTTAATCGTCATAGCAAAGCTAAGCCTTACAGGAAATTGCTTACTCTTGAACTTGAACGGAAACATGTCGTTGTCAGATGGGCATAGGGGTATTCGAGGAAGGAATACCCTCCTACCTGCGTGTTGTTCGATCACGATTTCTGCGTCGATGGTGTTCCTCTCGAAACCTCGCACCACAAGCCTCATCCCGTTACACAGACCATTAGTCGGCTCAATATTCCTCAGAAGTATGACATGGCAGTTGAGCTTCAGTTTGAGCGCATGCGGAGGCAGACCGTTGGGAGTCAATCCATTTAGGAACTCGGGAGCGTAGTAGCCATACGGGTCGTCTTCTGCACTGTCAAAGCTATGGTAGATTACTTCTTCTCCCCGAAAACGATCTACCATGCGTATGTTTATCTTGTCGACGTTGTTGTTCGTGGTGGAGAGGATTGCGCGTGAAGTCGTGTAATTCGGATCCGACATGTTGTCATCTAATCTCAGAAACACATGGTCAATTAGCTTCTCCAGGTCGTCACCCTCACCTGTAGACGACACACAAATATCTTCAGGGAGTCGTATGTTTCCTTGATCATCAACTTCCTCGGTACCATTGCCTGCCCTTAGCAAGTAATCTGCAAACCAGGTGTCATTATGAGCCCTCATGTTGGTGATGAGCCTTAGCTGGCGCATACCCTTCCAGAGGTGTGAACTTCGGAGGGTTGCATCGATTATCCGACCCTGGGACCCCCTCTTGACGATCGGAAGCACCTGCCTGAAGTCCCCGCCAAACACAACAATTTTTCCTCCAAAGGGTCGGTCCCGTCTTCCCATGATGTCGCGCATGTTGTTTGATACGTCTCCATCGTATCTACTTTTCCAAACATTTTTTCCCTTGTTTTGGACTATAACTTGCATGATTTGAATGGAACTAACCCGTACTGACGCTGTTTTCATCAGAACTGCCATGGTGTTATTTTTGTGTAGAAATAAAAGTTCTCAGAATGACCTGCAAGTCCATGGAGCAAATTTTCAGAATAAATAAAAAATACTGGTAAAAGAATTAACGCCAAGGGCCCACACCCTTGTCACGAGGGTGGGGGCGCGCCCCCTCCCCTAGGGCGCGCTCGCCTGCCTCGTGGGCCCCCTGGACGTCCACCGACCTCAACTCCAACTCCATATATTTGCTTTCGCGGAGAAAAAAATAAGAGAAGAAGGATTCATCGCATTTTACAATACGGAGCCGCCGCCAAGCCCTAAATCCTCTCGGGAGGGCTGATCTGGAGTCCGTTCGGGGCTTCGGAGAGGGGAATCCGTCGCCGTCGTCATCATCAACCATCCTCCATCACCAATTTCATGATGCTCACCGCCGTGCGTGAGTAATTCCATCGTAGGCTTGCTGGACGGTGATGGATTGGATGAGAGTTACCATGTAATCGAGTTAGTTTTGTTAGGGTTTGATCCCTAGTATCCACTATGTTCTGAGATTGATGTGGCTATGACTTTGCTATGCTTAATGCTTGTCACTAAGGCTCGAGTGCCTTGATTTCAGATCTGACCCTATTATGTTTTCATGAATATATGTGAGTTCTTGATCCTATCTTGCGAGTCTATAGTCACCTATTATGTGTTATGATCCGTTAACCCCGAAGTGACAATAATCGGGATACTTACCAGTGATGACTGTAGTTTTAGGAGTTCATGTATTCACTAAGTGTTAATGCTTTGGTCCGGTTCTTTATTAAAAGGAGGACTTAATACCCCTTAGTTTTCATTAGGACCCCGCAGTCACGAGAGGGCTGGACAAAAGATGTCATGCAAGTTCTTTTCCATAAGCACGTATGACTATATTTGGAATACATGCCTACATTACCTTGATGAACTGGAGCTAGTTCTATGTCACCCTATGATATAACTATTACATGAGGAATCACATCCGACATAATTATCCATCACTGATCCAATGCCTATGAGCTTTTCACATATTGTGCTTTGCTTAGTTACTTTGTCGTTGCCACTGTTACAATTACTACAGAACTGCTATTGTTACTTTTGCTACTATTACCGTTACTTCCATACTACTTTGCTACTAAATACTTTGCTGCAGATACTAAGTTATCCAGGTGTGGTTGAATTGACAACTCAACTGCTAATACTTGAGAATATTCTTTGGCTCCCCTTGTGTCGAATCAATAAATTTGGGTTGAATACTCTATCCTCGAAAACTGTTGTGATCCTCTATACTTGCGGGTTATCAAGACTATTTTCTGGCATCGTTTCTGGGGAGCATAGCTCTATTCTTTGAGTCACTTGGGATTTATATCTGATGATCACTATGAAGAACTGGAAAGATCAAAGAACTAAAATATATCCCTCAACTACGAGGGGAGTTAAGGAACTGCCATCTAGCTCTGCACTTGATTCTCCTTCCGCTATGAGTGAACTTGCGACACCTAAACCTGCTTCTGTTATTAATTCTGATATGTCACATGTTATTGATGATGCCACTTCTGCTATGCATGATACTTGTGATGAAACTACTTCTATGCTTGATACTACTGTGCCATTAGGTGAATTTCTTGATGAACAACTTGCTAGGGCTAGGGAGAATGAAATTGTTGAAACTAATTATTGATGATACTGATGATGAAGGTTGTCCCCCTAAATATGAATTGCCTGTTGTTCCTGAGGGTTATGTTATGGATGAAGAAACTACTAGAGATTTTCTTGCTTGCAATGATAGATCAGATCTTAAGAAATTATTAGCCAAGCTGAAACAAAAGACTCTGAATGCTAGAATGAAACATGACCCTGCTTTCGCCACTTCACCTATCTTTGTTACTGATAAGGATTATGAATTCTCTGTTGATCCTGAGATTATTTCTTTAGTTGAATCCGATCCTTTTTATGGCACTGAATCTAAAACTGTAGTGGCACATCTTATTAAGTTAAATGATATAGCCACCCTGTTTACTAATGATGAGAAATCTCGCTATTACTATATCCTTAAAATATTTCCTTTCTCATTAAAGGGTGATGCTAGGACATGGTTTAATTCTCTTGATCCTGGTTGTGTGCATAGTCCCCAGGATATGATTTACTACTTCTCTGCTAAATATTTCCCTGCTCATAAGAAACAAGCTGCCTTGAGGGAAATATACAATTTTGTGCAACTCGAAGAAGAGAGTCTCCCACAAGCTTGGGAGAGGCTTCTCTGATTACTTAATGCTTTGCGTGATCATCCTCTTAAGAAAAATGAAATACTTGATATCTTCTATAATGGACTAACCGATGCTTCCAAGGAACACTTGAATAGTTGTGCTGGTTGTGTTTTTAGGGACAGGACAGTCGACCAAGCTGAATTGCTATTAAATAATATGTTGACAAATGAAAATAATTGGGCACCTCCTGAACCAACTCCTAAGCCAACTCCAAAGAGAAGAGG